CTCCCCTTCCTCATCAAGTCTCCAACCAGTCCCATCAAGTTCTTGTTGTCTGCTGAGTACAGCTGACCCCAAACCAAAACTGCGATGTTTTAAGATTTCTTTGTGTGTCTGTGTGAGAGTGGGATGAGGTAGGGGTGTGGTTGCAAGATAATAACAGAAATAGCTAACATTTATGGAAAACTTACAAAGGGCCAGGAGTTCTTGAGTGGCACAAATGGCTCAGTGCTGGACTACTAATAGAAACGTTGGCAGTTCAAACCCACTCAGAAGTTTCCTGGGAGAAAAGCCTGGAAATCTGCTTCTGAAAGGTCACAGCCTTGAAAATCCTACAGAAAGCAGTTCTCTATAACACATGGAGCCACCATGACTCAGAATTGACTTGACAGCAACTGTGGTTTTTTTTTTTTTTTAGTTTACTTAGCGCCAGGCGCTGAATTAAGCATCTTATGGGTATTTAAAAATTTAAATGATCACCACTTTTAAAATGAGAAAACTGAGGCTGTTTTCCCCTCAAAACAACAGAAAAAAAAAAAAAAAATCTTCCCAGGTTAGCACTGGGATATGACTGGCCCTTAGAGCTTTTATTATTTGCTAAAGCTTAGTTGAATGCATTTCTTCTTGGAACGTGTGTCCTCTGTGGAAATAGGACACAAAGGGATGGAGATGTCAGCTTGCAAGAGCGCCAGGTTCCGGAGGCAAATGTCACCGCATCATAGGATACTCGGATACAGGTCGGCAGCTAGCGAATTCTGCTCCATCCCTCCTCCTTGCTTCTCCTCACAGGCCCAACCAAGAGTTGGGGGGGGGGGCAGGGAGGTCACACGGCTTCTCCTCCTGGAGGCTTTCCTCCTCTACCTTTCGGAGTCTGGCTGCTTCTTAGAGAGTGTCATGGTTTAGGCTGTCTCTGTCTCCAAGGGAATGGGTGATTTATGTCCTTTTATTCGGCAAACAGCTTTGTACAGAACGGATGTGACTTGCTGAATGTCACTGGGTGGGGGTGGGGGAGCTGTGTAGAATCCCAATGAAGCCTTCTAGGCCTGGGTGAAATGGCAAGAGGCTGACTTTGTGATTGTGCAGTCTTCTCTTGTGGGAGTCAGGAAGGGGTAGTGGATCCTGAAAGGTTCCAGGAAGCCTGGCTTACAAGGCAGGGAAATGCTGAGAACCCTGGTGTCCTGGCTCCCCTGCTAATGCCTGTCTCTGCCTGCTTCTCAATCTTCTCCGGGCACTTTGCAGAAGGGCTTCTCTACCCTGGAGACATCCCAGGCAGTCAGGGACCTGTGGCCTTGGGGAAGGAGGACTCCTTTACTGAGGAGCTGAGTCAGTGTGCAGAGACTGCCTGTGCCACAGCCTCCAAGCCCAAGCTTTGGTTGCAGAACAAACCAGGAGGGACCAAGTCATTCATCTGGGCAGCACCAGGGCTCTACTCTGCACTTGACCTTCCCCAAACCCAAGGTGCCAGGTGGAGGCCCCTTGGCCCTCTTATGCTCTCTTCCCAAACTCCTCCTCACCATATCTCACCATTGATGCCTGGGTTTATAAGCTCCCTGAGGCCACACGGAACACCTACACCTCCCCCCACACACACACACACACGCGAGATACCTAGCCCAGCTCCGTTCTCAACACAGGTTAGGCACTCAGTGTTCGCTGAATGAATGATGAATGGCAATGTCAGATTACCCAGTAAGCAAGGTAAACAAGAGCTTACTTGTTCTTACTAATCTTTAATGAAAAATTGCACTTTTTTTTTTTTAACCACATCAAAGATTCTGCTTGTAAGTATGGCTGGCATCTGTCTCTCTCCCAACCCCACAGTACCTTCCTACAGAATCAAAGCAGCTATTCAAATTTATAATCCATGGCAGTGATAGAGTACCCAGTAAACAAGGTAAACACAAGTTTACCTCTGTTTACTTACTGATCTGCAGTCAACCGTTTCACGTTTTTCACCCTGCTTCCCTTGCTTACTGGGTAATGCAACCCTAATGAATGGTCATCTACCACCAACTCCCATTGCTGCCCTGGAAGCTGAGGGCTGCTCTGGGCTACTCTAGCAGGATGACAAAGCATAGGCCCTAGGTTTGGCATTTTGCATGATGCTAGTAGGAACAATACACTAAGAAACAGGAAAGATCAAAGATTCACAGGACCTGATGGGAACTTTGAGATCACACCATTCAACCCTCTTACTCTACAGGTGAGAAAATCGAGGTCTAAAGAAAGCCCAAAGTTACACAGCACCTTAGGAAGAAGCAAAGACAGTGAGAGAATCCAGGTCCAGCCATTTTTCCTGCCTCCTCTCACTGGAAGAGCTCACTAAGGTGGAAGTCTGGCCCTGGGCCAGCTGGGTGACCCCCCACCTCAGCTGCTAGCCCCATCCCCAGCCCAGCTACACACATACACGCTCAGCACAGGCTTCAGCCACTGGTCTGAGTTTCCAGCCCACGGCCCACACACTCAGCCTCTCAGGGAGGGTGGCAATTAGTTTTCATTGTGTTACTCAGCACGAGGAGGGCTGGCGGAAAACCATGTGTTCCTAGCACTCCAGATTAACGTGGGCCAGGGCCACTCGGGGGCTGCAGAAGGCAGAAGAAAACAGACAACATACTGTGAGGGCCTGTGAGTGAAGGCGGCCCACTGGAGAGCAGTCACCCCAGCCCAGAGCAGAGAGTCAAGGCAGCATCACAGAGCAGGGCTGGGGGTGGGGAGGCTCTGTGGAAGGGCACTTCCATTCACATTCACCTTGTGGGAAGTGGGAGAAATCCTACGGAAAAGCAAAGCAAAGGCCAGAGAGATGAACAAGACAGAAGAAAACCAGGGAAAAGAAGGAGAAGAGAAAAACTTGATCTTTTCCTTCTTTCTATCATTTCCTTCAAGTCTTCCTCAGCGCCCCTCACACAGGAAGGAAGGCAGTAGAAGGGAAAGGGGAGGCAGAGGAAGAAGGGGAATAAAAGAGGGAAAAGGGGAAATGCTGTGGGTTTATCAGTTTACTTTCCTTTGTGAAGCACTTGGAGCCTCTCACCCAGTACTGAGAGTCAGAGACAGGAACTGGGTTCTGCCAAGTAAGAGCCATCTGGAGATCCCAGGATCCCTCAGACGGATCCAGGCCCTGGTTCTATGGACTGTACTCAGAACTAGACAGCCTCTACAATCAGTAAATTTAGGAATGTATGAGGCCAAAAGGATTTCCAAAGACAAATGGTCCACCCCTATTATCTAACTACTGATACTTTAGACATGGAAACACAGGCACGAGGAGCAGTGACCTATGCAAAGAACAGAGCACCAAGACAGTTCACTAAACAGAAACCAGGTGTCTGAGCTTCCACTCCAGGGACACTGATGACCTTGACATTCAGACTAGGTGACTCCCCAAACTTCCAAACCTCTCTAGCAAGCCTTTGCTCCTCCAGGGGCAAGCACAAAAGGGAAAAGTTCTCCTATGAGCCTGCACCCCAGGAGAATGGTGATATTCAAGCAGGAAGTAAGATTCAGGGCCCTAGTGGAAGAAAGGCAGAACACTGAGGGAGTGGCTGAGACCTGGGAAAGGTAGATTCCTGGAGCAGACTTCAATCGTGAGGACTGGCTCAGTAGCCTCTGGCTCCAAGGTCCTGCGCCTCAGCCCCAGAGGGGCTTCCCAGCAGCTCTACAGAAGGAGTATGAAGAGACCCACACCTGCTACCAGCTCTCAACTGTCCACACCAATAAAGCTGAGCACTAGGCAGGCCCTGAGGAGCCCCACCCCCATCTATTTAGCTTTAGAAAAGTATCTTTATTGTGGTATTGGTAGACAATTTTTCTTTGTGGATTCATAAAATTACAATATTTTCATGCTCCAATAAGCCTTAGGAGCTCTGGTGGCATAGGGCCTAAGGCATTTGACTGCTAACCAGAAGGCTGGCGGTTCAAACCCACCAGCCACTCCTCAGAGGAAGGTTGGGCAATCTACTTCCGTAGTGATACTGCCTCGGAAACCTAAGGAGGGGTCGCTGTGAGTTGGATCCAACTCGATGGCAGTGAGCTTGGAGCACTGGAGCTAACAAGCCTTAGTCCAAACACTTGTTTTTGCGCCTCATGTTTTTGTGGCATATATGAAAGTAGGGAGTTCTGGTGGCATAGTGCCTAAAGAATTTGACTGCTAACCAGAAGGCTGGTGGTTCAAACCCACCAGCCACTCCTTGGAAAGAAGGTTGGGCAATCTATTTCTGTAGTGATACCGCCTCGGAAACCCAAGGAGGGGTTGCTATGAGTCAGATCCGAGTCCACGGCACTAAGTTGCTGTTGTGTTATAGGGCCCCTAAGGAGCTCTGGTGGCTCCATGCCTAATGCATTTGACTGCTAACCAGAAGATTGGTGGTTCAAATCTACCAGCTGTTCCCAGAAGGAAGGTGGGGCAATCTACTTTCGCAAAGATTTATTGTCTTGGAAACCCAGTGGAGTTCCCTCTAAGTCAGGATCAAGTCCATGGCAGTGGTTTTGGTTTTTGGTTATATGAAAATAAGTCTTGTGTGGAGAGCATGCAGCCCCTTGAATGGATCTGGTGGCATGTAGATGGGAGGGAGAGGGTGGGCTGATAGCCCTTTTCTTCTCAAACTCTTCCTCTTGCCCTGAAGGGTAGCAGGAAGGGAGGACTTTTTGTTTGCTCTGACCACTTCTTCATCCCTTGTGTCTCAAATGGAGCCTGGCCCAGAACAGCATTCAATAGGCTCAATAGGCTTGTAGAAAGACTTTCAAAAGGGAAACAGAGACTTCTCAGGATAGAGTGAATGCCTAAAGATCAGGTGATTCTGGCTCCCATGGCCAATCAGAAAGCTGCTAGGACTGGTGCAAGGATTTCTGGCAGACTGCCATGGCTTCAGAGATCCTGGGCTCCCTGCCTTTGATTCCTTAACCTCTCCCCCACCCCCAAGAGATCCCTGGACTCCAAGGAGATCCTGGGAAGGTTGGGATTGGGAAGGAAGCCAGAGGAGGACCTGGGGGGGGGGGGGCAGGGCACTCACTCTAACACATCTCGGTTGAACTGCTTCTTGCTGTTGCCCAGGAACTCTCCAATCATCTGACGGCTGAGGCCCTTACGCTGAAGGAGGAAATGGGCCACACCAATGGGGGTGTCAGGGATGAAGCCACGGGAGATCAGGAACTGGATGCCCTTGTCCGGGTTTCTGGAGATATGGTGGGGGGTGGGAAAAAGGAAAGTGTAGAAAGTGAGCCAAGGCTGTCCATGACTTCTTTTTTCTTTCTTCCAACCCATAGAACCCATAAAAGTATTTGGGTCCCTGGAAAGCAGCCCCAGGAAGTGCCAGGATTCCTTCCACCACAGAGGTGTCCCCCCATTGGGGTACCTCTTACCAGAGCCTGACCCTTCTGAACCTCCCCCAGAGAGGAGTGAGGGTGGTGTAGCACTGAGGAAGGGAGGTCTGGCACAACCAAAGTGAATTCCAGAGCAGATGGAGAGGGAGCCCCTTCTCTCTCCCTGCTTCACTCTTATTGGATCTTACCCTGAGGTCTCCCAGGCCTGCCCCAGGCCGTTCCTCTCTACCTGGATCTGTTGTCAATACACAGGTACCCACCCTGGAAGCAGGAGTGAAATAGAGGTGAGAGCTCTCACCCTGCCCTCTTCCCCCGCCCCCCCAATAGTGGACACAAGGCTCCAGTTCCCCAGGTTTACTTTCTCAGGCCTGAGTCACTGGTGTCAGTGCTATATCTTAAGAGGCAAAAGCACTCTGAAAGTATGATCTGCAGATCCATGCTGGTCCCTGAACTGTTTCTTACTGGTCCAAAGAAGAAAAGTATAGAAATTGAGGGGAGGGGGAAAAAGAAAAAGAAAGAAAGAAATTGAGGGTAAGCATCTAAAACCTTTTACAGCACTTGACATTTTTGGGACAGCCAAGCATGTGATTGTTTTTCTAGTATTTTCATAAAAGTATCAGCCTGAAATGTATTGGGGAAAAAACTGGTCTTTCACCACAGTACATCTGAGAATCACTGTCTTGAGGGATCTAAGTGTCTGTGTGAGCATTTATGGGCATGCAGACATGATGCTGTGGATGAGTTAGGGTGCCCATCAGCACAGTAGCCTGTTGTAGTGATGAATTTGAGGTTGGACAGAGCTGGCTTGACCTAACTATGCAACTTAATAACTGTTTAAGTGTGCAGCTCACCTCATTTGTACAAGCTCACATCCTTTTCTATAAAATAGTATACCACCTCTCTCTGGATAAGGAGCCCTGGTGGCACAACCGTTAAGTACTCAGCAACTAACTGAAAAGGTGGTGATTCCAACCCACCCAACCACTCCTTAGGAGAAAGACCTGGCTAACTGCTTCCTTATGGAGCAGTTTTACCCTGTCACATGGGGTCACTATGAGTTGGAATCAACTCAACTGCAGCCAACATCTCTGGATATTGCTGAGAAGATTTCAGGTGCTTCATGTAAGGTGAACTATACATAGTAGCCACTCCTGCTAGAATGTAAGTTTCTTGAGACTGTAAAATGTGTCTTGCTCATCCTTGTGGTTCTGGTGCCTGGCACTCAATAACTGTCAGTTGAATGAATAAATGAACATAGATGTGGGCAGGAGGGCTATTGCATTTCTTGCCTCAGGGATAGAAGGGAAGGGAATGAGTGGTGGGTGGAGATGAGTGCCTCCTGTATTTACATTTCCATGAAGGGGCGTGTGTGATGCCATTGCTTGGCACAAGTTGCATACACTCTGGTTGTAGGGATTGGTCTGGTTGAGGGCCTGGGCTGTGGCAGCAGTTTGCTTCTCTCTTTCCACTCCCTTATTCTCCTTCTAGTGTCCTTCCCCCTCCTCAGTACCTATTTAAAAAAAAATGCTGTCAACTCATAGTGACCCCTCCTTGAGTTTCCCAGGCAGTATCACTACAGAAGTAGATTGCCCAACCTTCCTTCCGAGGAATGGCTGATGGGTTTGAACCGCCAGCCTTCTGGTTAGCAGTCAAATGCCTTAGGCACTATGCCACCAGAGCTATTTCCAATTTCTTCCTTTTCTCATTCTTTTTTTTTTTCACTGATCCTATGAGATAATGTTGTTTCCCTCACTTCATATCCTATCTGCATGATTCCTGCCCAGTCCTTCTACTACCTGTACTCTTATTTATGAATTCACTTTGGTTGTGCCAGACCTCCCTTCCCGAGTGTTGTCTTTTAAATTCTCTCACTTTTCAATCCTAGCTTCATCTTAAGCAACAGTAGTTGTGAAAGCATGGGTTTGATCTATTATATTTTCCCTGGTACTTCTTAAAATAAGTTCATAACAATTAAAAATAAACAGGACAACCAGAATGGGTATGCAAATGTGTGTGCATTGTGAAGAATGTAACCAATGAAAACTGAACAACCTGTGTAGAAATTGTTGAGTGGAAACCTAAACTGCTGTATAAACCTTCACCAAAAACAGAATAAATTATTTTTTAAAAGAAAAACAAAACGTGTACTTCCTAAACAATCTCAAGGACCGGACATGACACAAAGGCCACCTGGGAGGACAATGAGATGTTGTAAATAACCTGGCACCCTGCTTGGTGGACAGTAGGTGCTCAAAGCTCAAAAGAGTGGCAGTTTGAACCAACCCAGAAGCACCTCAGAAGACAGGCCTGGTGACCTGGTGCCTAGCGGTCACAGCCTTGAAAACTATGGAGCACAGTTCTCTGCAACAGTGAATCCACTGAGGGCTATTGGTTTCTGTTGGTTGGTTAGTTAAAAAAAAAAAAAAAAAAAGTTCCCATCTTTTCCTTTTCCGCCCACCCTGGGGCCTTGGTTGAACTTTCCAGGCTTAGTGCTCACTTACATGTTGAAGAGGTTGAGGCCAATGCGGTAGAGCCGCTTGCGCAGGGTGTCAGTGGACAGCGTGGGTGATTTACAGCTGGCGGGGTTCTCGCAGTGGTAGCGCGGCAGGCTCAGGATCATGGCCTGCAGAGCCTCCTTAGAGGCTGAGGCGGAAACCTCCGAGCCCGACTTGGCAGACTTGGTGGACGTGCTGCTGCTACTCAGCTGCTCCGAGTTGTCTCCAGCCTCGGCCTCCATCCCTTTTCCCACCTCCCCCGCCTCCTCCTCCTCCTCTTCCTCCTCTGCACCCTCGGCCACAGCTTCCTCCACCACTGCCTCGGCTGCCCCCAGCCGGTTGGCGCTCACAGCCGCGCTGGTCCCCGCCTCTGAGCACGGGTTTTCTGAGGGCACATCGCCCTGACTCGAGGCGGAGACCGCAGGAGACTGCTGGGTCCCAGTCTCACCCTGCTCAGTTTTGCCAGCCGCAGGCTCCTGGGTGGTCTGGGTCGTCTGTCCGCCAAGGCAGTTGGCCACGGACAGAGCCGTGGAGGAGGACACTGAGATGTTCTGGTTGGCAATCTGCACCGTGACATCCCGGAAAGCCATCATGAGGGTGCCACTGTGGCCTTGGGGCAGGCCAGCGGCCTCTGCAGCCTCATCTCCTGGCCCTGACCCAGCACCCTCGGGCTCCCGGAGCTCGGCCTCCAAGCCTGACGGCCCGGCGCCTGCGTGCAGAGCCTGGTGGATCTGATAAGCCCCGCTCTCCTGCAGGGAGCACATGGTTTTGAGGCTCCAGGTGCTGAGGGCGTCGTCGATGGACTTGGCCAGAGACTGCACTTGCTCGGTGAAGGAGTCCTCCAGCTCGGTAAGTGTGCCCGCGAAGGTGGGTGGCAGGGAGGGCGAGCGCACCAGCGGCAGCCCCATGAGGCCGTAGCCCTCCATGAGCGCCTTTTCAGCCGCCAGGCTCTCAGCCATGGGCGCCCTCACCTTGCGCAGGGAGATCCGCCGAGGCAGGCGGCTCTCCAGAAGCGAGTTGCGGATCTTCTCGAAGTTCTTGCTGAGCTGGTATTGGCGGAAAGCGGTTTGGATGGTGCAAGCAGCGCGCCGGGACACCAGGTGGCCCCCATACTTGTGTTCTAGCATTTCAATCTGCAACGAGATGGACAGAGAGGAATAAAAAGCTCAGTTGGGTAATGAGTATTACAACCCTTCCAGAAAGATGGGGTGATGGATATCAGTCGGTGCAGGGAGTCACCTGGCCAAACTTTGGTCTAGCCCTGGTATGCACAGCTGGGAGGGCCTGGGGGTGGGGGTTCAAGACTGAAAACTTCTAGCATGGAAAAAAGTCAAGTTCCTGGGAGATACCAGGTCCTTGGCAAGACTCCTAGAGATGCAGGATTAGAGAATCCAGAGATTGATGAGGTTCCAAGAGATGGCAGAGAGATGCTGCTGATGCTAATCAGATATTGCTGCTGCTGTGGTGGTTATTAAAAAGTGTTCATAACAGAGATGCATACTGAAGTATTTATGGGTGAAATACATGGTATCTTGAATTTGTATTAAAATGCTCCATCAAAAAAGTGGAAGGGTTAGATGAAGCAAGATTATTAATATTAATAAAAATGGTTGGAGCTGGGCGATGGGTATATGAAAATTTATGACACTATTCTTTCTATTTTGTGTATATTTGAAAATTAAAAATTAAACAGAAATGCTAGGAAAAAAGAAGAAAAAGAAGAATTGCTGCTACTCTTTCTAGCTAGCTGCTTTTCCCTCTCAGCATTCACGTCACTGCTCTGGGATAGTTCTCTATACTTGGGAGCATGATAAGAGTTTGATCATCTCTCTGTTCCTAGTACCTAGCCAAGGGTCTGACAAATGGTACATGCTCAATAAATATGAATTGGATGTAGAGATGGGTAGACGGTGGATGGAAGGATGGATGTCTCAAGAGTGGGTTCCTCTTCAGGCCACTATGATCAATGGTTCCACAAACTGAGACACCTCTGTTTGCAACAGTGAGAGCTGCCCAGGACAGAGGTTGGTTGGTGGAGGGCAGCACCTCACCTGGGCAACCTTGACCCCAGGAATACTTCTACATGGGGCCTTGAAGTCTGTTTTCAGGGCTCTTACTCACCTCTTCTTAGCCCTGCCCATGTCTCTTTTCTCCCCTTCGAGTTGCTGTGCACTCACTTTTTCTCCCTTACCAAAACCTCCCAGGAGAGGACCCAGAGGTATGAGTGGCCAATAACACTTAACCATGCTCCTTTCCTGGAGGTTTCTGCACTTAAGTAAGGGGTCAGGGGCTATTTCAGGAGAATGATCTTAGTGATGGTATTGTGGGCTCTGATGAGTCCTTAGAGAAGTTTGTGAAGTGGAAAGGTATTCTGGGCCCTGAAATTATGTCCCATATACAGCTATCCACATAATGTCATTCTTGAACTAAGAATCAGGATAAATGGACTGACATTAACAACTCTAGGAAAAACAGCATCATCACTCCCATGTTCCCCAAGGATCATGGGTGGGGAGGGGTACAGATAAAAAGACCAAGTTTCATCCCTCAACACTTCAACCCACTTTCTGCTCTCTTCTCTTCTGCCCACGAGTGGCTGTAGCTGGAATCATTCCCTCCCTTACAACCCCTGGGTTTAATGGGTGATCCACAGCTGGGCCAGCAAAGCACCTTCTTCTTTTTTTTTTTTAATTTTATTTTGATTTGGGTGAAGATTTACAGAGCAAATTCACTTTTCATACAGCAGTTCATATATATTTTGTCTCATGTCATTGACCAAAATTTACAATACAACA